ATGTATGTGTAAAAGTGGTGGTAACATAAGGACAAAAAAAAAGTATCAGAGAGAGGTGAACATACCACCACGTCAGAGAGAGAAGCGTGAGAAACTGAGAGGGAAGCGTGAGAGACAGAGAGAGAAGCGTGAGAAACTGACAGAATAGAACCAAAATTCGTGAAATAATCTAACCACCACGCCAGACGAATTCAAGAACCAGGCTTCTTTTATATGGGTGAGTGAAGAAGATGAAGAAAAATTGCTGAAGAAGAAGAAGAAGAAGAAGAAGAATTGATGGGTGGTGGTGTGGCGGTCGGCTTTGCGTTCTTTATATAAAGAAGACGAAGATTTGCAGGAAAGATCTTCAAGATTTCAATTCAAAACAGGTAAGGCAAACATCCTTGTTGTTCACGACTTCGAATTTCTGTCGAATTCCAATTCTTCCCGAAATTGTTTCCTAAAACGTATCCTAAATTTGGGATACCCGTATCTATCTGGTCAGATACGCGTGTCCTTTTCTGATTGACCGTATCCGTTGACTCGGATACGTATCCCGTGTGTATCTTTGCGTATCCCAGCGTATCGTATCCCCCAGCGTATCATCATGAGAGGTAGTGAGTACCACTTTGACTAGATTAGTGGCATGTTTATCCGAATATAAAGCAGCTGTTTTGCCAGTTTTATTTTGGGAAAGAGAAAGCTCATCCTTTGATGGGCATCCAGAAATAGTATAAGAGCCTGTCAAATGACACGAGATCAAAATTCATTAAAATGCTCCACAAAATGAAGCAGATTTGACCATGTGGTTTTCTGAACACAGACTTGGAGATGGGCATTGTAGCTCTCCAAAAAGATATGACTTGTCAGAATATGTTTGTCCCAGAACCGTTTGTTTCAAAAGAAAATTTTTACCCTCCAGTATCATTTATTTTAAATAACAGTTGGATTCTTCTTGTTTAGGTAAAAAGGTATATAGATATTTATTCAGCTTCATTTGTTAATGGTTTTTCAAATGAAGACTTGTTGCACATAGCAAGCGTGTATGCTAACATACTACAAAGAAGTTGCTGTTATATAAGAAGGGAAGCCACAATGAGTTATTGCCTGCTCTTAGGAGGAAAATTGATTTGTATTCTGAATTTGTAGCAAGTGTTGCTGAACTTGCTCGCTCCGAACGGACTAAGTTTAATTTAAAGATGATGGGTACTGGACTTGGCATTATGTTGATATCGCTTCTTCTCCACTTGGAATTAAGAAAGTGAAGGAGCAATATGGTTTTTGTTTTACTTCATCTGGAGATTCTGGGCTTTCCTTCGGGTTGATTTTTTCTTGTTTTATGGTGGTCATACTCATACATGCAAGCAGCTTCCTCTCGAATAGTTTCATCTGTAAATAATAGGTACTGTTCATTTCTGTATGGATGCACAGAATCCGTGGTTAATGCTCACATTGGCAAATTGTTGTTTTGAAGCTGAGAGACAGCTTCAGAATTTGCTTTTGATTTCAGAGTTTCTCTGGCAGCTCGGCTTCTGCCAGTTGCTGGTAACAAGGTAAACATTCAGCACCTTCTTGACTTTGATAGTTTTTATATGTCTAAGAGCCTTTTAGTCTGTCAATGGACCGAGAAAAATACAAGTCAGTTATGAAGATGAGGAAGGTCCTAGTTTGTGCCTACCCTCGCACAGACACACTTTTCTATCATTTTGGTGTCTTTTTCTTCCCCTTCCTATTATATTATATGATGTGTGTTTTCCTGTGACGACTAATATTACTGCCTTCACTGTTCTACCAGTTGATTAATTGCAGCGGGACAGGGGAAACAACTGAGACATCGAATTAGCGCCGCCAACGCTCATTACGGATCTTCATCAAGCACTCCATGCTGTTAATCAGAACTCAAAATGAGGGCTTCTTTTATGGAAAAAAATAAAAGCACTCCGTGATGTGCATTTTCCTGTGGCAACTAATTATTTTCCTAGACTAATGCTAATATATGCCATTGGATTTGGACAATTGTTATTACTGACGTTTAATCAGCTGTTCAGTAAAGGGAAATCGTCAGATCACAGCAATCTCTTGTATATTAAAACAGTCGCCATGTTTTCTGCATGGAGCTCAACAATCATTATTCTGTTGGGAAAACAGGGGCCCTGGGTTGCTTTAGCATTCATAATTGGAGGTGCGTGTATTTACATTTTTGGTGCTTTAGTTTTCTAATGAATGGAATCTTTTTGGCCAATAAACTCTCTTTCTGCATGAATGCAAGACTTTTGTATTCACCTTTCTGCATGACTTGTTTTATTTATTTTTTAAAATTTTTAAAATTTTGATATTTGTTCAGTCATAGAAGTTGTTTCATTGGATTACACGTGAGGCTTTTAAAAATAATTTGTGCTCTTTTTCTGAAACTTTTGGTATATGTAAGAAGTCTGTTCTACCTTTTGCTATATGCTTTAGGGGCTGGAACATGGAATTTTGAAGACAGTGTGGGAACTTACCAAAATAAGTAAGTTGGAAGAATGGATGCTGAATTATGCCAGTGTACTCTGTACCAATTCTCGGCAGGTATTTACTTTTTACTTTATATTATGTCAATGTACTTCGTTAATTCTTTCAGGAATGGATGAGTGATCCTTTTTGGACGAACCACTTAACGGGTTGTATTAGGTTATGCAGTAAATGGGTTGCTCTTTTACTGCCCGAACCCTCTGACCATCCGGCCCTCTCAAGTGAGGAGAGGTAGTGAGTATCACTTTGACTAGATTAGCGGCATGTCTAGAAATCTGAATGAATCAAATTCTTTTATTCTTCTCATTCTGAGATATTTATAAGATGTACAAAGTATACAAAGTCAACTATATTAATAATAATAAACCCTAAACCTAATATATCACGCCAACAGCATGTTTATCAGAATATAAAGCAGCTGTTTTGACAGTTTTATTTTGAGGAAGAGAAAGCTCATCATTCGATGGGCATCAGGAAATATTATAAGAACCTGTCAGATTATATGACATCAAAATTCATTAGAATATACTCAACAAAATGAAGCACACTTGACTCTATGGTTTTCTGGACTCAGACTTGGAGGTGGGCGTTGTAGCTCTCCAAAAAGATATGACTTGTCAGCATACATTTGTTTCGCAACCTTTTGTTTCAAAAGAAAATTTTGACCCTCCGGTATCATTTGTCTTAAACAACAGTTGGATTCTTCTTGTTTAGGTAAAAAGATATATAGATATTTATTCAGCTTCATCTGTTATTGGATTTTCCAACTAAGACTTGTTGCACATAGCAAGCATGTATGCTAAAGCAGAGGAAAAATGGTCACATACTACACAGATGTTGCTGTTACATAAAAAGGAAAGCTACAATGAGTTATTGCCTGCTCTAAGGAGGCAAATTGATTTGTATTCTGAATTCCTAGCAAGTGTTGCTGAACTTGCCCGCTCCAAATGGACTGAGTTTAATTTAAAGATGATGGGTACTTGACTTGGCATTATGTTGATATCACTTCTTATCCACTTCCTTGCAATTAAGAAAGTGAAGGAGCAATATGGTTTTTCTTTTACTTCATCTGGAGATTCTGGGATTTCCTTCGGGTTGATTTTTTCTTGTTTTATGGTGGTCATACGTGCATGCAACTTCCTCTCGAATAGTTTCATCTGTAAGTAATAGGTACTGTTCTTTTCTGTATGATGCACAGAATCCATGGTTAATGCTCACATTGGGAAATTAACTTCTTCCTTTCTTCTTTTTTTCCTTGATGAGAACTTTGAGAGCAGTGGAAGAAGGAAAAGTGGCATGCTTTCTTTTGGCTACAACTGCACTAGTTAAGATGCGATATTCAATCATGAAGGAGAAGATGATATTAGAAGTAAGTTGTTTATTTACCTCAGGTTTCTATAATTGTTTTTCCACCGAGACCCTTTCATCAAATATTGCAAACATATTGTTTTATATGAAGAAATATGTGATGGTGTAACTGACAGAAAAATAGAAATATGGTTTCTTGTAATGATCATTTTTCACTGATATAATTGCAGGAATTTGTTTTCCTTCTTCTAATCACCATTTGCAGATTTACTATTGAAGTTGGATTGTCGAAGCAGGCTCCTAGTTCTGAATTTATGAATGCATATCCTTCATGGATGCTAGGGATTGCTGCAGGGTTTCCAATTTGGAATTTTGTTGCTGAAGCTTTACAGGTAGTTGCCCTGATTTTATTGGCATTCTTGCTGCGTGAAGCCATTACTAGAAGCTCTTCAAAGGGTATTTGGAAGTATATTATCATGGGAACTAATTTAAGTTATATACTAATAGCAGTGCATTGGGCTTCAGAAAGTTACAGATTGAATCTGGCTTGGGTGCTTAAAGGCACTGGAAGAAGTTATATTCCTATACTAATACATGCCATTGGATTTGGACAATTGTTATTATTGACATTTAATCAGCTGTTCAGTAAAAGGAAATCCTCAGATCACAGCCATCTCTTGTATATTAAAACAGTCGCCAAGTTTTCTGCATGGAGCTCAATAATCATTATTCCGTTGGGAAAACAGGGGCCTTGGGTTGCTTTAGCATTCATAAATGGAGGTGCGTGTATTTACATTTTTGGTGCTTTAGTTTTCTAATGAATGGAATCTTTTTGGCCAATAAACTCTCTTTCTGCATGAATGCAAGACTTTTGCATTCACCTTTCTGCATGACTTGTTTTATTTATTTATTTAAATTTTGATATTTGTTCAGTCATAGAAGTTGTTTCATTGGATTACACGTAAGGTTTTTAAAAATAACTTTTGCTCTTTTTCTGAAACTTTTGGTATATGTAAGAAGTCTGTTCTACCTTTTGACAGGCCATTGCATAATGAGGCTGGATAACATAGAACTGGATGTCAAAGATGGAGGCAGTTGGAATAGGATGCTTGATCCTGTTCCTGTAACACAGTGGAGCCATTTTGCTGTGCGCCTGTCTTTCTGCGCTGGTCATTGGTTTGTTGTTTGTTTCCCACTTTGAGGCTTTCATGTTTTCTGATTTCTCTTTTCAGCACATTTTGTGTTAGGTTCTGTAATCCCTTTGGTTTTGTTCCTACAAAATGTAGTTTCATTTTTATCTAGAGTTGAACCTTTCTGTAATAAATTTGTTTTCTCTGTGGACTTTGTTTTCTCATCTTTTGCGCTCTTATGTTTCATAACCCAAAAACAAACTTTTCTTCAGGTGTGCTTTTGATGGCCTCCGATATGGTGCTGCATTTATTGGGTGAGTCATGGGTATCCACTTTCATGTATATAGTTATTAACTTTTTGTAACATCCAAGGGACTGAGGAAGCCCACACTTTGGTCATGTTGAACATGTGCCATTAGAGATTTCAGCACTCACATAGACCTATTATCTTTCGTAAGCTCAAGATTCAGTAGTGATTGGCTCCCACTTTTGCCCTTGTTACTGTTCACATTCTAGGGCTTATATCCATTGCCCTGTAGATGTAGATTATTAAAAAATAAAAAGGGGCTTTTATAAATAAACCCAAAACAGGTACACTATTTATAAAGAAGGACAAAATTAAAGTGATTGGACAATAATGCGCTTATTTCTTTTTTGAGTTTCCTAAGGAGTCCTTCTGCTGCTTGCTAGCCGTATGGAACCAAAATTTTTCTTCTTTTCAAATAATGCCGTATGGAGCCAAATATTTTGCTTTTGCTGAGATGATCCTTCACGTGAAAGGATGAGGACTTCATTATGCTTCCATCATGTTGTCTATGTTATGGAGTTCTTCTCCTAGGCTATTCCAATATGTGTTGTCATTATCTTCTGCTTCAATTTGTTCTGCTATCTGGTTATAGATCTCATCAAAGACTTTTGCTCCAGTTGTGCTTATCCTGAATTCGTATGAATCATCTGGTCTCCTTGATGTAGAATCTGAATAAATCTTGATAAACTTGGATTGATGAAGGAGGGTCAGACAATCATCATTGAACAGTTGTTGCTCTGCTATTATTGCTCCTCTATATTTTTGGATG